AGTCATAGATAACAAATTGGAATTGAAATTGGTTTTATTTATTTCAATGCTTTGCTTTACGTTTTGTTGAACTTCAAATATAATTGTACAAAAGTCAATACTTTGATTCCTAAATTATTTATTTTTATCCAATTCTAATATAAGCTTTGTTGGAAAAAAAATGAAAAATGATCACTAATAAGAAACAAAAAGCAAGAATATAAGTTAAATGATTTACAGTATTATATTTCATTTAAATAGTTATTTCTCCAATAGAATATTTTTCCTATGAGAACATATAAATTTTAATTCATTTAATATATATCATTACTATATCTTGATTATTTGTTTGCTCAACTTCTAATATAGAATATTGACTAACACAATTATTAAGATATAAACCTTGAAGTTAATAGTTCTTCGTTTGTACAGATCTAATTTCAAAGAAAAATTAACTGTTCTAATTTTTAATACTTAGTTTACTAAGCTCTCTGGGCCTCAATTTTCAGAAGGTCTGATAATATTATTTTCCTAAGTAATGTGGTTATTATACAAAATGACATCTTAAAGCATATATATAAGAATTCTGGAAATAAAAAGAAGATTAATTTATACTTCTTTAAATGCTTACTTACTCTTAGTTTCAATTTTGTTAAAATAATCAAACAATTGTTAACTTACAAAAAAAAAATAAATTGATATATGTTACTGGGAAAATAATTTCTAATCCACAAAATCCAGAGATGTAATTTTATATATGGTTATTGTTTGATTTGGGAAAAATTACAAGTACACATAACTAAATTTTCCAGGTAAGAAGGAAAAATTAAAGATTAGAAAATTTAGGTTTCCTGGTTATTATGGCTTAACTTCATGGAATATGTGTAAACTGTTATGGTTTTTAACTGCCTTCTAAGTGATTCCAACTCATGAAGACCTATAAAGTAGATTGAAATGCCACTCAGACCTGCTTCATCATGAAAATCACCAGCATGTTTAAATTCTTCCTTGTAGCAATTGTGCCAATTTGTCTTACTTAGGGTCCTCCATGCCTTCCTTGGACTTCTACTTTACAAAGCATAGTCTTTTAGGGATTGGTCCCTTCTGATGATATGTTCAATTTATCTAAATCAGAAACTGTTCTGTTGTGATCATGAGATTATCATTAGCTGATCTTCTGAAATAAATCACAAGGACATTCTTCCTCAACTGTTTTAATCTGAAAGTCCAGCTGAAACCTCTTCATTGTGTATGACCCTTCTAACATTTGAAATATCAGCCATATAATGTCCCTCATCATATCAACACACAAAATACCACAGTAGAGCAAACTGACAGACAAGTGGTGGGCATATAAAAGTGTAAATGTTCGAACACATTCTTAAGCTGAAATTTAAAAAAATTAGAAAACATAACTTTCAAGAAGACAACTAAATATTTATGATATGAACCTATTTCTTGTCTATGCCTACCCTTTGCAATAATAAAAATATATTTAATTTTTCATAAAAATTACTTTTAAAAACCTTCAGAAATTTTAATCTTGTTACAAAAGCTGTAATATGGTTTCTCTTGAAAAGAAGTAGCAGATAATTTAGTATCAATAGGTCTTTACCATGAGGTACTTTACAAATATAATTTTTATAAGAGCTTTTTTCTAAAGCATGGATATCAAGCCAATCAATGTACTTAATGATCTGCTTCCTATTCATGCTTTAGAACATTAAGATGTAATACTTAAAAGGTCACAAATAAAATATCTGTCAATTAAAATCTAACTATCCAAACCTGATTCTTTTTTTTTTTTTTT